CAATATAACAAAGAGTGAAAAATTTAAGGGGGTCTGAATACTTTCCGTACCCACTGTATATATATATATTTGAATGTACTTTATGTGCATATATTTGTGTGTGTGTGTGTGTGTATGTATACAAACATATTTGTATAATGTACTGTATGTGTATATATTTGTGTGTAGGTTCGGCGAGTTCCTGGCTCCAGTGGGAGACTCCATAAAACAGAAGATGGAGAATGGGAATGGAGCGATGATGAACTGGATGAGGAGAGCGAGGAGGGCAAAGCTGCTGTTGCTGCCTTGCGGGTAACACACACACACACACACACATGCATAATTTCAGATCCTACTGAACACGTAATTTTGAGAGTTCCAGCAGCGGTTGTTTGCGCTCTTTGTTTGTGTGTGGTGTTAGTAATGCTGTTGGCTGTAATGGCACCTCTCATCCCTGGGCTCTGTGTTTTGTGTTTGCCGCTAAAGGAGCAGCAGTCCAAGTCGACAAGGCGACAAGTCCGTTTCTCTCATCCTCTTGAGCTGCCCCCACCCAGGGTTGTTCAGTTTTCCCGCTGATACAGATGGCTCACCTTAACAAGGAAGCACACTCAGTCATACACAGCATTTGGGCATGCAGGAACTGGAAGTGCTAGATAATCAGAAAGAAAATTTGTTTAGAGTGTATATTGTTATCCAGCTTCAATGACTAATACAATAAAGATAATAGAGTTCAGGTTGGTTAAGGATGAACGTTGAACCTTCTCCTGTCTGTGATAATCTGTTTCTCTGCAGGTCTATGCAAGAAATAATCATGTACAGTATAAAATCATTTAGATCGCTTAATATGATAACCTTTGCTCAATATCCTCTGCTTATTATGAACCCATAGCTTATACATGCTACAGAATTACCTACTTACCTGGCTTTTTAAACTTGACCACATACTTCTAATCTGAATGACTAAACTGTGGTAAAGCAAAAATAGTGTAACTAAACTATTCTTGCTAGGAAGAACAGAGAGACAGAATGTGTGCTTCCTGGATGCCATCTGTATTGTGTTTTTATTTATAACTTTGACATACTGACCAAATCGATGCTCTCTGATAACCATCCAGATTCTGTTTAACAGCCTCATAATGAGACTTCTGTTGGTTTAGGCACTAACACGCATTATGGTCACTTCTGGTCACTATGATCTTTGTATTCCGGTATAAAAATCACTTTATATCTCTTCCATCCTTGCTGATTAAAAAAAATCTTACTGACCTTAAACATTTGAAGTAGTAGTGTAAGTCTGAACACACCTCAGGTTAGATGGCAGTGTTTAATTGTGTCTGTTTGGTTAAGGGTTGTGGAACACCATTGGATGTATGTAGTTCATACTATTGAATAGAATATGTTCTAGGCAGATATTGTGTAATTTGGTTGCATATCTTAAAGGTAGGCCTGTCGCAATAATCAATATATCGACTTATCGCGCAATATATGTACATGACCTCAATCATTTTTGGTGGCGCAATATATCGCCCATTATATTTACTTAAATTAATGTCACCATGTTTTGTACATTCCACTTGTGCCTGTGTCTTTTGCAGCTTCTCGTACATAACGTGGTGTAGTCATGAGGTGCTAGTTCAAATTTAAAAAATGCTTCTACAAACAAAGTTTCATCTGCAGATATGGTCTTGTTTAGGGATCTGTGCCTTTGTGCATACGGACATCTTACTGCTGAGTAGTGATTGTGTTTTTCAGGGAAAAATCTGTAGATGGAAAAATCTCCATACAAGTTCTTTGTGCATTTTTTTTTTCTACTTGTTACTTTGCACATTTTGTTAGAAAATTTTTATTTACTATTTATTCAGGTTTTTTTTAAGGTATCTAATATTTTGATACTTAATTTCCATGATCTAAATATTCTTAAAAATTAAAAGTTTGTTGTCATTTGGAAGTGTGCAGGTCTTCTTGCATTATTATGCTGTTACATTATGATTATATATTCAGTGGCATAAAATGGTCTTTAAAATGACAATAATATTGCTTATCGCAATTATTTCTGGGGCAATATATCGCACAACAAAAAGCTGTTATTGTGACAGGCCTACTTAAAGGGATAGTTCACCCAAAAATGAAAATTACCCCATGATAACATCAAGCCATTCTTGGTGTATATGACTTTCTTCTTTCAGACGAATACACTCAGAGTTATATTAAGAAATGTCCTGGCTCTTCCCAGCTTTATAATGGCAGTGAATGGGGATTGAGATTTTGAAGCCCAAAAAAGTGCATCAATCCATCATAAAAAGTGTTCCACATGACTCCGGGGGGTTAATAAAGGCCTCCTGAAGTGAATCAATGTGTTTATGTAGAAAAATATCCATATTTAAAACTTTATAAACCATAATCTCTAGCTTCCGCTAACTGTCGTACGCACATTCACAACATTTTTCTTTACAAATCCTGTCACGTACGACAGTTAACGGAAGCTGGAGATTAGGGTTCATAAAGTTTTAAATATGGAAATGTAAAACTTTTTTGGGCTACAAAATCTCAACAGCTATTCACTGCCATAATAAAGCTTGGAAGAGCCAGGACATTTTTAATATAACTTCAATTGTATTCGTCTAAAAGAAGAAAGTCATATACACCTAGGATGGCTTGAGGCTGAGTAAATCATGAGGTAATTTTCATTTTTGGGTGAACTATCTCTTTAAAACAATGCCAGTAGTCCTTCAGTTCTTGAAGGATATTTTACTAAAACTATAAATACTTAACATCATAGCGCAAGTGTAAAATAAAATACTCATGAAGGACCTTAACTCCCTGCTTCATTCCTTACTACAGTGTGTTCAAATCCAAAGCTGAATTACAGTAACCCACACCATTCTATATTATTACAAGAGACTTGAGTTTGACCTTTGACCTTTTATCTCTCACACAGTCACCAAGAGTAAAAGAAGGACTCCAGGACACAGAGGTTTGTAAACCATGAGGAACCTTTCCAAATATCATACTAATGAACTATTCTTATGATTCCTGCTGTATGTACTATGTATTATATAATGCATTTTGAATGCATTATGCATGAAATACATAGACCTACTGTATTTGGCAAAATAAACAGGGCACTCTGTAGAATACTGTATCCTGCAATGCAGTGTCCATTGTAAAAAGTAATTACACTGTTAAGTCTTAAGACTACAATTATTTTTAAATAAAGTTGAATTAAAAAGCACAAAATAACATTTTATTACTAAACAATAACTAAATGCGATTCAAATGCATGTATAGTATGTATACTATATTCTTTGAACATTTACTAATGTACCGTAATAATATGTCTAATATATATATATATATATATATATATATACATTTGTGTGTGTCTGTGCATGTATTTGTAGATATTCCAGCCTTTCAGCAGTCACCTCCAGCCTGAACTACCTCAAGCTGCTGGCCAGGGCCCGGCCAACCCTCAACACACTGACCCAAGTACAACCCCGACCCTGGCTGCGAACCCTACACAGGTAGAGCACCAGCAACAAATCATACTTCACACGTTTTGACATCTCTATTCCAATCAAAGCTGTTGTATCAAGCATGAAGTTATTATGTCACCTCAGTCTGTACAGGGAGTCTGATCCTCTGCTTCCATCCATAGGCCCCAGTTCCTGGCGATGCCTCACCATCCCCCATCAGTTTAGTATTAAGGTTAAGGTAAGATGTATTTGTTTTTTTGTTTTGATTCATTAATTGACGTTGATCCAGTGTTGACAGGAGCAGTAGATGACTTACATTTCTCCTTCTGTCCTATAGAAATTTGAAAAAGGAACTGAATGACATACGATTTGAGTTCATGCCTGGCAGAGGTAAGAGCGTAGACGTGGCTAATAGTCAACAATAAATCAAGCAATAAAAAGTCCACACAATACACTCTTAAAGGGATACTCTACCCTAAAATTACAATTCTGTCATCATTTACTCACTCTCAGTCCCAGTACGCAGTCCCAGGTGTACTTTTTTCTTCTGTGGAACACAAACTGAGATTTTTAGAGAAATAATTATTTTCTGGCAGTGAATGGGTCCCTCCAAGATGACGCTTGAAAGAACATGCAAAACGAACGCTGGTGTAATCCATTTGATGAATCAGTGTCGCTTTTTTGGGTGGAGTATCCCTTTAATGCAGATGTTTTCCCAAAGTGTTCATGACTCTTTAGAAAACCACTCAATATTGTGGTTGAGAGTTGTCACATTTGTCAAAGGTGGTGAACATCTCAATCAGTTTGATTTACACGCTTGGGCAGTTCTTTTGTCCGTGTTTTCCTTTAAAGGGGTCATATGATGCTTTTTTAAAGATCATTATTTTGTGTATTTGGTGTAACAGAATATGTTGACATGCTTTAATGTTCAAAAAACACATTATTTTTCAAATACTGTACATTAGCGAGCCATTTTAGGGGGGGCGTGGCAGAGTCTTAACTTTGATAAAGAATATCTCTTTGGTTTTGAGACTTTAGTCTTTGCAACTTCAGGGATCTTATCTATGCACAATCAGCTTGTAACACTCCAAAGAGAAAGGAAAACTTGAAATCGCATCATATGACCCCTTTAACAAATCAATTTATCATCAGTTTCTCTTTATCTCAGCTCTCTCTGCCCTCCAGCAGAGGCTAAAGCAAAGCTAGAGTAAATTTTTTTTTCTACCATCAGATGTCAAAGAGCACCAGTTCTCTGCATCTGCATTTTGTCAGTGCCGTGTTGTGAATTTTCAAGACTCCCAAAATAAAACATTGTGTAATGTGCATTTAGCTGGCTCCAGGGGAGATGTCCATTTCTGATGGCCTGATGTAGTGCGTGAGAATGCTCTTCTGCCTGAACACGTCGTCTTCATTCTGCTCTCTGTACTCACTATAGTATGTTAGCATGTTGTGTGCAGCTGATCAGTTATTATGTTGTCAGCCTCGTTCTGGAAGATCTGCAAGCTTGTCAGTTCACAATATGCAGGAGGTTGTAATTTGCCAGACTTAAAGTTTGTTGGTCTAAGTGAGTCTTTTTTTTTTTTTTATGTGGGGTTAATGAATCACATTTTCTTTTTCTGTAGACACAGCAGATGGGGTTTCTCAGGAGCTGGTATCGGCTGGCTTGGGAGATGGGGGGGATTTTGTTATAGGTAAGATGTTTTTTTTTTTTTTTAAGAAATATTTTTATTGAGCAAGAATGCATTAAATTGATCAAAAGTGGTAATTATGGCATTTATAATGTTACAAAAGATTCTATTTCAAATAAATGCTTTTTTTTTAAAATTTCTGTTCATCGAATAATACTGATCCTAAAATAAATGCATCACAGTTTACACCAAAATATTAAGCAGCACAACCATTTTCAACATAGATAATGATCAAATGTTTCTTAAACACCAAATCAGCATATTAGATTTCTGATGGATCATGTGACACTGAAGACTGGAGTAATGGCTGCTGAAAAAATAGCTTTGCATCACAAAAATAAATGGCATCTTAAGATAGATTACAATAGAAAATAGTTACTTTTTTTATATATAGTTATTTTAAATTGTAATATTTCACAATATTACTGATTTGACTCCATATGTACAGAATTACAGTAATTATATATAATAGGAAATGTTAGTCTATAAGGATTTCTACTGAAAGTTAAATTGATGTGCAATATGTAAAGATAATAAATTGCAATGTCAAGATGAAATAATTCTTAACTTTAATATATCATGTTCCTAAGCCTCTGTTTTGTGTCATTTCAGTGGCTGCTAATTTGCAGAAGATAGTCGAAGAGCCTCATTCCAATAAAAATGTCACATTTAAACTGGTGAGTGGTTAAAGCCACTGTGTGCTAGTCCTCACTGGTGTTTTGCAGTAACACGTCATGCGTGGTGTTTTTCAGGCCTCTGGCGTTGAGGGCTCTGAGATTCCTGACGATGTCAAACTCTTGGGATTTGCTCAGCTCAGCATTAGCTAAACTTTGGCTCTGTGCAGGACCGTGACTTGCCTACAAATGTGAAAGCAAACCAACACTACCGACCGAATGACACATTGATGTATTTTTTCCTCTTTCAATTGCCCTAAAGAAACCACTGTTGCCAAAGAGAAAGATACCATAGCGCCAGCCCATAGGATTTCAAACAGCCCAACGGAAGAGTTGCACAAACATGCGAATGATCAGAATTTGTAGGAGTCGATTAAAATATAGTTTAGGATTTATTTGTATAAGGATGCAATTATCATAACCAGATATAACCTTAATATTATTTTAATGTTTCTTTTTCTTTTTTCTACATTTGTCCTAGTTTTGCACAATCTGAACTGACAACCTAAAAATTAACAATGCAAAAATGCCTCCAATATAACTACTGAGTGCATAAAAGAGGAGCGAAACCCAAAGAAACATGGAGTTTATAGAGGAAGTAAATGGGTTTAGCTATAGTTATAGCTTTATTTTTTAACCTATATTTTTTCTATGCTTTTGAAGAGAAGCAGCTAAGCATGTTTTATCCCACAGCTTGCATTATTTACTTCAGTTTAAACCAGCTTGTTGAACATTTACAGCATCTGGTTTTGAAATTTCTACTTCTGGTTGCGGTTGTTTGCTTTCTGCAGATTAGCCGAATAAGATGAAATGATTTATTCATTCAGTGTCATTGAGCCCTAATGAACACTCCTGAAGGCTGGTTTTACTGCTTTCCCAACCTTTTTTGCTGTCTCAACTTGGCACATTCGCAAATGTTACTATCCCATGCTGCTCTAAAAGTTATTGCCTTAATGTTTCTACACATTTCTGCATCTCACACATCTCTCCTTTTTTAGATTTTGCATTCATTTGTGAATTTTGGTTTTAATTTTTTTGACATTATCTGTGACTTTTCATTTTTATAAGTCTCTCTGTATGTGAAAGGGTAGAAGTACCCGAGGTACCTGATGAAAGTTTGGTGTTTGGCTTTTTCCTGCTCTGGAATTGAACTTAAGTATTCATGTGTATTTCTGTTGTGGATCAACTCAATTGAGCATGTAAATAATGTAATTTGCCATTGGTTTGATTTTATATGGGATGTTTCACTCATGGCCTTTGTGTTCTTCATAAATAAGGTGATGGGAGGTGGTGTCAGTTACAAAAGACACATTGTGAGTGTTGGTTTTTCTTTTTGTCTGTGAGGGTGCCTATAATCACAGTGGGGTCTTATGTAGCATAAATCTGCCTGGTGTTTTCAGCAGGTCTGTTCTGACCTGCTGAAGTTCTCATTGAATTTATGAGAGGTTGTTTACTTCACCCTAGAAATCTCATTTAAACATATCACTACCTTTGTGCAAAAACAGCCTGGAATAATCTTAAGCAACTTCATTATTTTAAAGCAGTGTTTCACCTGATTTTTATTATTATTATTATTATTATGTTAATCCCCTTTGCCCTTTTTGACATTTTATTTTATATATATAATATATATAATTATATAACATATATAATATATAAAAATAAATAATTTAAAACCTTTTTCAAACTTTATTTTCCAGTTTTATTGGGAAGATTCAAAAGCTAATAGGAGAGAAGTGAAAGAAAGATTTGATGCACAAGTATTTTCTTTTCACCTCTTTGCAATCACAACAAAGCTGTCCACTAAAATAAGAAAAAAAAAATTGCTTGCATTGAAAATGCGAGTTTTGCTTTGAATAAGGAATTTATTCTATGTAGATCAAAGGTCAACATTATTATATAGTATATAATTAAATAATATCCAGTCTTAATAATAATGCATTTTATAAGTCCTTAACGTGGAGCAGTGTTGTACAAGGACCGACGCCTTCAGTCAGTTTACTGTAAGAAATAAAAATTAAAAGCAAAAACCGTATCAATATCAGTATATTTTTCTTTATATTTTCACTTAATTTTCTTTAGCTTGTGTTGAATTTTAAGGCATGTTTTTAAATGCTTTAAAATCAATAAAGAATTAATTTAAAAGGTGCCTAATATGCCTCCTTACTGGTTACAGTATATATTACTGTATTTTAATATTATTGAATATGACTTTTATATAAAAATCATGTTCATTTTGATTTACAGCATAGAAAAGCAACTTAAAGGGATAGTTCAGCCAAAAATGAAGATTTTGTCATCATTTATTCACCCTCATGTCGTTCCAAACCTGTATGAGTTTCTTTCGTATGTTGAACATAAAAGAAGATATTTTGAAGAATGCTGGTAATCAATCAGTTGATGGTCCCCATTGACTTCCATAGTTAACCCCCACCACCGCCTACTATGGAAGTCAATGGAGACCAACAACTGTTTGGTTCTTCAAAATATCTTCGTTTTTGTTCTTCCAAACTTATACAGGTTTGGAATCATTTTTAGAAAATGGTTTTAAAAGGCACATTTTCATCAGGTTAACTGGAGTAACCCTACGGAAAATACCATGGAAGTCGATGGTTAGGCTACCAGCATCTGTTTGGTTGCAAGCATTCTTCAAAATGTCTTCTTTTGTGTTCAGCAGAAGAAAGAAATTTATAAAGGTTTGGAACGACATGAGGGTGCGTAAATAATGTGTGAACTATCCCTTTAAATTCATATTTGTTTAAAAAAAAACGTTTTGCCTTTATTTAGCCTTTCCTCTTGTCACAATCATCTTACTTTTTCCCTTGATAGTGTGGCCACTTTGTGACACATATACAGCGTTGTCTAAATATTGTGCTCGAACCCACAAACATATCACAACAATTTACATATTACCACCATATTAAGACCGCCTTAACTGGCAAAAAGGCCCCAACTGCATTAGCCTCATGATCCAAAGTCCCTCACGCAAACACACATACAACACACTGCTAGAATTCCTCTCAGTACATTTCAACCACTAGAATCAGCCTGTTAATCTACTATCAAATACCTTCTTTTGCATAGGATCATATTTTATTGCTATTAATTTAAAATCTTCTGGCTATCCTTATCGCTGTGAAAAAAAAACAGTGCTTTATCTTTGTCGTAGCAGATAAGAGCGCTGTAGATATGCTGAACTTGTGACACGTTTAAAAATTAATTTCGCTCCGCAAAGGTGAACCGCGGCGCAGGTGTTTTAAGCGCGAGCCGCCGCTGATGGTCGCCCAGTGGTCATCATGATAGACTTCGCGCAGATCCTGTCGTCTGTCGGCGAGTTTGGGGCGTTTCAGAAGCGCTTGCTGATGGCGGTATGTCTCCCCAACATCTTCACAGCTTTCCACATGTTCGGTCAGGTCTTCACCGCCATCAGCTTCCCTCACAACTGCAACAGCAGCTGGATTTTACAGCGGGCTCCCAACCTGACAGAGGAGAAGCAGCTGAACCTCACCATCCCTCTGGACACCGAAGGACAGTATGAGAGTTGTAAGATGTTCTCACCTGTTGATCTTGAGCTTGATGCTATTGAAGCTTATGGAATAAACACAACGACATCATGTTCTGATGGATGGGTTTATAAGGCACCAGAAGGCAGCAGCACTCTTATAACTGAGGTAAGTTAGGTCAGCTTTTTAAAATAAAGCAGCCTATCACTATATGGTTATAAGAGTTTTAATTTTGTTTTTCTTAAATTTATAAAGCTATGCCTTTTCATATAAATCATGTAAATACTAATTGTTACACTTTCAATGTAAGGTTTTTATGATACCCTACACGTGATATAAAATGTGTTGATTTTATATTATTAAAAGTAAAACAATATTTGACTTTCAAAGGAGTCAACTTTTAAATTAGCTAAGTAACAATTTCTAGCCATTTCAGTAGTCTTTTGGCGCCTCTAGCTCTTGTGCAGTTTGCTGAATATCAGCTAACTTACATTACAAAGACTTAAAATATGTGTTATGTTCACACCTGTAAAAGTTTACTTGTTTTATTTATAATAGCTAGCGATCAAGTAGCTGTTGCCATGGTTACCTCCTCAGGCAAAGACAATTTTTGTTCGCGAGTGTATTTTGCGAACTTGTAATCTTTGTGATTAAGACCACGTTTGAAAGAGCTTTTGACATAAACACTATTTTTGCCATACCTGCTAAAATAGGCTACCTAATTTACTGGTGAACCGAATTTTGACTTCTCGTAACGCAAATAAGTTTATTTTTATTTTTTCATCTATGGTCATCACATTGTTCACATGAAACCAAATGCTATATAGGCCTAATGCATAACGTTTATCATCATAATAGTGGTTTGTCACTGTGTGCTTTTTCCCCTTGACAATAATGATTGAAATTGAAATTTTAAAAAGTTCAAGGTCTAGGACTTTACTGTATACGTTTTTACAGAAATTGACTTTGAAAAGCTACCCTTTGTATAATGTGTATTAATATAGTAAGTTATTAAAGTTAATATGGACTGTAACATCTCCCTACATATCATTTTAATTTACATCATTTGTTGTCTTTTATCATGTTTTCTTTTCCTATCTTATCATAGTTTGACCTGGTGTGTGAAAATAAGGTATATAATGAGGCATCTCAGTCCGTCTACATGGCTGGTCTTCTTATTGGAGCCCTATTGTTTGGGCCAATGGCAGACAAGTATGTGTAGAGTACAATCCCTGATCAACATAAGAATGATATTTTACATACTATGATTATTTTGGAGTTTTTCCAAAAACAAAACTTTCAGATTATTTCGTTTGTTTTTAAAACCCATGAAGGGCTATTTTTTTATGTTAGTGTTTTAATAACTGTACTGGTTAACATGTTTTCTTGCCACAGGTATGGCCGGCGGTTTGTCACGCTGCTTTCCTTGTTCCTGCAGTTTCTGTTTGGGGTGGCAGTAGCATTTTCTCCCAACATCTTTGTCTACATAGCTCTCCGCTTTGTGGTCGGCACCACAATATCAGGGATTTCTATCAACACATTTGTTTTGGGTAACACGTGACTCCTCCTAATGCCAGTACATTAAAAAGTCTGAAATTTTGCTTAGATATTTAGACTGCATGTAGAAAGAGAATTTATGCTTTAAACAAATTCCCTGTAACAAAAAAAAATCACTATGAAAATGTATATAGCACCTGTTTTGGATCTCAGCAGATGAATTTCATGGTATCTCAAACGTGTTTTAGGTACTGAGTGGTGTGGTTCAGCCAAACGGGCCCTTTTTACCATATTGTCACACTGCTTTTATGCCATTGGTCTGATGTTGCTGTCTGGTGTGTCCTTTGGGATCCGAAACTGGAGGATTTTACAGCTGGTTCTGTCAGCACCAGTTGGGCTTTTCTGCATTTATTACTGGTGAGAGTTATTCTGTACCAGTGATTCCCAAACCTTTGATTTGCATGTTCATGGTTTTCTGATGTCGGTTAATGGTCACATGACATACATACATACATTTGTCATTTTATTTTATTGCTTTTATTTCATTTGTATTTTTATTATTATTGTTTTTGAAATTTTTATGAGGTGTTTTCTTTTCTAATAATTGTCTTTGTATTTGGCAGGATTCTCCCTGAATCTGCCCGATGGCTTCTGACTCAGGGCAAGCAAGACAGGGCCAAGAAAGAGATATTGAACGCTGCCCGAATTAATGGAAGAAAGGTGCCCGAAAATCTGCTCGACAAGGTGACGTTTTTCTCTTTGCCAAGCTTTATTTGGTCTAAGAGAAGAATTAAAGGCATAGCTTACCCAGAAATGAAAATTTGCTGAAAACTTACTTAGCCTCAGGCTCTCCAGATTTGGAGACATTTTGCATTGCATCACTTACTCACCAATGGATCCTCTGCAGTGAATGGGTGCCATCAGAATCTCATATTTTAGCTGAAAGCAACAATTTGAAGTTAAAAACTTCTTAATGATGGATTTTGTCTTACAAACAAAATGCAGCTTTTTTGATTTTCAAGACATTCATTGATGGACTGGAGTGGTGTGGATTACTTGTGGATTATTGTGATGTCTTTATCAGCTGTTTGGACTCTCATTCTGATGGCACCCATTCACTGCAGAGGATCCATTGGTGAGCAAGTGATGTAATGCTAACTTGCTCCAAATCTGTTCCAAGGAAGAACTAAACTTATCTAAATCTTGGATGGCTTGAGAGTGATAATTTGTATTTTTTTTTGGTGCAAATTTTCCTTTTTGGGTGAAAAACTGTAAACGATCAAATTCATTCTAAAACATATAGTTGAATCAAAAGTAATTTAAAAAAAATTATCAGTTAACATGAAAGGATGCCTTATCAGATTGAAGCGGAGAACACAGCTAAAACAGGCACCATGCTAGACCTGTTTCGAGTGGCTTACCTAAGAAAGAGAGCTCTCATCATGTGCTATATGTGGTGAGTTATCCTAGCATTTCCCATATCTATTATCCAAAATGTGATAAGATGCCATACCTTTGATGCTTTATCCAAGTTTACCATTCAGGAGCTTGTATGTGGGTAAACCTCTCTAAACTCCCCCAGTTTTTGATATTAAATACAATATAA